GGCTCCGCCGTGCGGGGCTGGCCGGGGGCCGCCCTCTCCGGTGCGGGGGTCTCCCCTTTCCAGAAACTTTTACGTGTAGCCTCCGCAGCGAAATCCCAGCGCAGACTTAGTTCTATTTATTTTCTGAAATAAAATAATAATAAAAAAAGTGCTCAATCGCACAGAAAGCGGCGGCGGTTCTAGAGCGGAGGGAGGCTTTCAGGCAAGGGCTGGGGTGGGTTTTGTGTGTGGCTTCTGCAGGAGGCTGGAGGAGAGGCTCCGAGGTGGATTCGTATACAAGGGCGTCCAATTTCAGGAGAGGGAGCTGCAGGGAAGAAAAGCCAGATGATAAAATTTCCTTTCGCTGTTGTTCAGGGCTTTCTCTCCACGCTTGTTTTGAAGGACGGAGCTTTTTATTAGCGGAGTTTGTTGTTGTGTGTAAATAAGTAGGTTTTAATGGTGGGGAGGGTTTCGGTGTACAAAGCTCCTTGATTGTTTTTGAAGTGAACCTGGAAAGTATAAATGCATTTGGTTTACGATGGAACAGCACTGGAAAATACCAAACTGTTAAAAGGAATGAAAAGTGGGTAATAACGATTTGAAATGGTCCCTTGCTAATCTGAGAAAACAAGGGTGGGCAGATAAAAGAAGTCTTGGAAGGCAAAGGAGATATACATATTCAATCACAAAGAGGACACGATGCAGCCATGTTTGGCAGCGTGATGGTGGAGCATGGAGCAAAACCTGTTCTTGAGGGTTTGTGACAGTGGACAGGAGGCTGCAAGCGGTCGTTAATTTAATTGTGGGACATTAAAAATCTTTGGACAAATCTGTGCTCGGGAGGGGGGAAGAGGAAAACGGAAATGGTGTTTTGAATGGAGAAGTCAAGAATGAGTGGCAGAGGGTCATCTGGATTGCAAAGCACTGCAGGATTTTGCTCCTGTGTTCATGTTTGTGGCCAGTAACCACTGCGAGTTAAGATGGGAACATCTCTAAACTGTCTCTGTATAGAAATGGTTATTTTAGATGTGCTGATTGCTGTCCTTTCTGGATGCGTTACTGGCCTGTTCGGGCAGACAGTTAAGCATCCCGTTTTGCTGTGACATTGTAGTCGCGTTACAGCTGGATCTGATTAGAACTAGACAGTAAACTAGGAAGCAAATGCTTACTGCGAGGTTACTGTGGTATGTTTGTATATTCCAGAGAAAGAAAGGTGGTACATACTGATGAAATATTGTAGTGATGCTATATTGATTCATCAGTATATAAGCAGCTCTGCTGCGTGAGAGTGTTTATGGGAAAATCTGCAGTTGCCGCCTTTTTTTGCATCTTGGGTGCTTTGGGGGGAGATGAAACAGTTTGAGTGGAATTAAAGTAAGAGTCAGTGTAACAATTTTGATGCAGGAAAATACATTCTGAATTCTCAAGATAGACTTAGTTATTTTTGCGTTCTTAAAAGTGTGCAAGCAATACCGAGATGTTTCTGCACAAGAACAGTAGTAGTATAGTAGTGCTTATAAATAGTTGTTTCTGTTTTATGTAATCTTTGCAGGTGTATATGCAGTCATATATTTGTCTTCT